GAGAAGAGAGACGTGACTGAATATGTCTCTTCTTTTATCGATTGTGGTTTGTGTTTTGTTCGAAATACAAGCTTTAAGAAAACTCTTCATGGGGTTATCGGTAATTACAAATTCGATAAAGCCACGAAGATGATGACTCCGATGGGTATACAAAAATTCAATGGAAGTGATGATAAGATATGATGTTGGCGTAAATTATGAGTATGAACCACACGTGAGTTTGTTCAATTTGCATGGTGACATAAAACAATGGAGATACACAACTATTGCAATATCTTCTACCGATGATCCTATGGTTGGATATAAACGCCACGAAGACGACCGGGTGTTGCAACCGATTTGATCTTACGACCGGATATAAACGTTAATGATGACTTGACAGCCGAGTATAATGCTCTAATAGTTTGATGATATGTCCAATCTCGATCTCATACGTGGTAACACGAGAAAATTATGGCCAACCAAAATTATAAAAATAAAAAAAATTTCCAGAAGATTGTCAATATTAAAAAAATTAATATTTGTGTATAAATTATATTTCATATTCCGTAAATGTAAATAATTTGTTAGACAAGTTAGAATTTTGTATAAATAAGCTTATTTACTAATGAATAAAACTGAGAGAAACTATTGTACTAGTAAAATTTTCTTTAAAATCTATCACTTCTATGGTACATAAAACTTTATATTATAACCAAACCAATGGTACATAAAACTTTATATTATAACCAAACCAACATAACATATCTGGTACATGTCATAATGTCAAGTGACACAGACTTATTTTATATAAAATACACACTAAACTTTAGCTAGCAAAGAGTGCTTTTGTGTGTGTGTAGATTAACAATTGAAGTAACAGATACACTTGTGAGCAGGGAAGACATAGTTGCAAGATCCGTGTCGTGCTCCTTCAAGTCTCTGGCACTGACTCTTACACGCGTTATTATTTCCACAAACTCCTGACCATGTCCCACTTGGCCTCTCGCACAATTTTGCTTCCACCATTGTTGGTGTTTCTGCATAAGATATACAAATGTCTCACAAGGTTAATTCTTAAATAATATGGAAAAAAGAGGAAAATGAAAAACTCATCTTGTCATGCATATGATAAAATCATTAATTACTAACCAAGAGAAGCAAAGACAACAAGAACAACAAAGAGCATGGTGATGATGGAAGCAAACTTAGCCATGACTATATTAGTTTATTTGTTTTCAGTCTATGTGTGTGAAGTGTGAAGAAATAGGGTTAAGATCAACCTCTATTTATAGTGAAAACAAATGATGGGGAGAATGAGTTTTTTCTATAAAACGTTAACACGTAGCTTAGGGTAAAAGATAAAATGTTGACCAATTCATAAACCGTGTGCTGATCATGTACGTGGATGGTTTGAGTGCTGCAACATTGTTTCATTTGCACTTTGATTCGGTGGCTACATATTAGTTGTTTACATAGCCGGCTTGTTTGACTTGTTGAAAAGGTTAAAATATTTTCACATCCTAGTTACACAAGTGAAATAGTCATTATATTTGGCACGACCACATCACATTTAATTTGATAAATTGGTAAAATACATTGTTTCTTTACCTTCTTTTTGTTTGATCTCACAATCGTCAAATTAAAAGTTAAAACGTGTAGTTATTTCTATCTACAAAGTGGATTTGAACAAATTTGCAAGATGATACGGACTAATAAAGCTGAAATTAAAAAAATTAAAAAGCTTTAAAAAATGTAAAAAACTTCTCGACAGAAAAATTGTTTTCAACTTCATCGTCTAATCCACAAACTTCGAGAACAGCCACGTGCCAACAGCTTGCTTCGTTGCCCTACTGAGAGAGTCCCAGCACGAACCACAGACAAGTAGCGACCTCAGAAGAAGACACACACTAATCAAACTGGTTAACTCTAAATCGAGAATGATACGAACCGGAATTGGTATCATGCTAATATCTTCCACCACCGAGCTATAAATAGAAAAAATCCATATGGGCTTGGGTCTAAAGCCTGGTCATAGATTTCATTCTCTTTTCCAAAATTACCATCAACGCTTAGAAAAAAAAGAGTTTCTTTTCTTAACAAAGACTTCCGAAACAAATTCTCAATTTTAGAACTGACAAAAAAAAAACACTACTCGAACCATTCATATAACATGGATTTACAAACCGAACTTTGATATCATGATAAACTGATGAAAGCAAAAACATATAATTTGTTATGAAAAAATTATGTTCGATTCACATAAGAACAATAAAAATACATTAAGATAGAACTAAATATAAATTTTCTAAATTAAGATAAACACATGAGCTCCAACCAAGTCCAGGACCATCCTTTGAATTTATATTTGTGAGAAGAAATAAACTGTCTAGCTCATCCCAACCGGTTCGAGCCAGGAGCATGGCTACACTTCCTTTCAATTGATATTATTTACCACTAGAACTGGTAACAACAAAATATTTGTTCCAAGTAAGAGTTAAAACTGGAGGATAATAAATTTACCGTACTTACGCTTTGCCTTTAATATCAAAACAACCACCGAGCTACCACTACTTATATATCAAAATATATATCTCATAGTTTATTATTGGAAAAAGAAAATTTAAAATTCATTTTGCAACACTACTCACCAAAAACAGTAATGAGAAAAAAAGGGCATCGAAGAGGAGGGTGAAGATGGTAAGTCTGCTACGTACCATCTTCCACTCTGATTGGTAATCAAGTATTTCTACACGATGGTATTGGTAAATTCACGTTTTATCACTTGTCATATATCTAAAATTAGCCTCTTGGCTTGCAATGAACCCACAAGTTAAAAATAAGTATCACGTGCACCTTTTAACTTTTTTTTAATTTCTTGTTTTTTGATACATATTTTTTGTTTCCACGAGTAATTTTGGTTTTCTTTTTTGGAAACCTACTCAGTTACTTGTACACGTATGTTCAATTATGAACAATAATTCATTTGTACATGTGTTTTTATAATGATTTTGTTGAAGTTGAACGGACAAAGCTTTCGTTAGTTTTGTTTTTTTGTTCCATTCATGAGAGATACCATTTGGAATATTACAAAATAGATATAATGCATTCAGGGGGGCATTCGCAGATGGCTAAAACAATGAATGTATTTTATCTAAACATCTTAAGGTCATAAAAGAAGTAGTAGCATAATTAAAGTAGAAAAATTTGGATATGGATTGTAGTGTAAGTAACCTCATGCTGATCAGAGAGACGTGGCTAGAGTGGAAGTGTATTGAAAGAAACCAAACCAAGTTGATAGGAAAGAGAGCTCGTTGCTTGGAATCCTATCTCTGTTCGCTATGTCAACGCTTATTAGTTTCTTTCTCATGTTTAGAAGTCGATTGATGCAATCTCGCGTTTCTCTCCTTCCATACCTCATACATCACTGCTTGAAGAAGCAATTTGCATATTGTATTTACTCTAGGCTGTCTAGAAGCTCTGCCAACCCTAATGAAAAAGGACAAGAGAAGAACAAGTGATCCTTAGTTTCACTATTTCCTGTGCACAACAAGCAAGCGTGATCTGTTGTTAAGCCCCAACTGATAATGCGATCTCTTGTGACTAGTCTGTCTCTCATAACAATCCAATGCAAAAAAAGCATGTTTCGGGATGTGATTTACAAACCAAACAGCAGATTTCCACGAGATAAGAGTGCCTAGCGGATGAAGGCGTTCCCAAGTCAAGGAGGATGAGAACATACCCGGAGAAGTATTTATGGAGTTCCGCCACTGATAATGATCGATAGAAGTGTCCACCAATGTAGGAACAGTGGGTAAACAAGCTCGCAGAAGGGCACACAGTGGACTTCTTCCTTGAGGTACTACCCACACTCCATTATGAACAACTTGAGCAACAACAGCCATGTTTGAAACACCAGTTACCATAGGACCAGCAGGACCTGTAATATCAATGAGAGGCCCCAAATTGGTCCAATCATCATGCCAGAACAAAGCTTGTAATCCGGATCCAAGGACGGTGAAGAGTAGAGGTCTCGCCAGGGCTCTTATTTTGAGAATTCTCCTCCATAACCAACTTCCAGCAGATTGAGGTGATATGTCCCAAAACAAGCGCCCTTTTATTAGTACCTTATGCACCCAAGATACCCATAGAGACCCGCTTTTAGTGAATAATAGCCAGATCAACTTGAGTGTAAAAACTTGATTCCAAGCTTTAAGTCTTTTTAAACCCAAGCCTCCACATTTTTTCGGAGTGCAAACAGATGACCAAGAGACTTTTGCACCACGAGCAGAGGAGGGAATGCTCTTCCACAGATAACCAGAACACATCTTTTCCAATGCGTCTAAACACTTCTTAGGCAGCGGAAAGACTGACGTCCAAAAGTTAATCATACTGAATTAATTGCAAACGACCAGCAAATGACAAATGTCTCACGGTCCAGTCTTGTGAACTCTATCAAGTAACGGTTGATAATCCTCTGGTCGCATTTTGTGAGAGAGCAAAGGTAACCCAAGGTACCTCACTGGTAAAGAACCGTGTACAATGCCAAATCTGTTTGCCAATGATGCAGAAAAACCAGAACATCATCCGCGAAGCTAAGATGAGTTACTAAGGGATCACGGCATAGAGGGTGAGGTGTGAACTGATTTGATCTAACAGCTTTGTCCAAATC